AAAGAACTCGTCGATCAAGTATCAGAGCAATTCGGAAATGTACGACACTTTCTCCACTAGCCCTGCGCAGTGAAGTGTCTGATCCACCAATCACGACTAATAACGTCATCAAAGCGCTCCACCCTTTGGCTATCGTGTTCTCTGCCTTTAAAGTTGTGCAAGTTATTCAAGATATCTTCAGTTCGAACAAATGGATGCGAAGATGGTTGTGCAGAATATAGAAAAAGTCATGGACTTATCGAGAAATGTCAACTGTCGCGAGATAAAGGGAATAAATATAAGGCTCAGCTATCTCGATCATCATTTACAAAATGCTGAAGGTGCGTTTCAAATTGAGATCACTTTCTGTAGTAACCACAAAATTATTGCAGATCGAGGTAAAACTATAGAGAAGCATGCATCAAAAATACTCGACACTCCATCTCGGATTGATCAGTCTTCACTTGAGGTATGTCGAAGTGAGATAGTTGAAATTCCGTAACTATAGTTGCATTGTGTGTGCATAAGTGACATTACATAAAGGGAAATACTCTTGAGGTAAAAACGGTGTGAATTCAATAGATATCTTCGTGTTAGATTCTCGAATTGGTGAGTCTAGTGAAGGTTTTAAAGGCAGGTATCACGATAAATTGGTGCTGTTGCAACTGAAAGAAGGGGTTGCATTTGTATTGTAGTAAAGAAAACTAAGGGGAACAGCCCTGAATCCGTGAAACTAAGCTCTTTTTTGTACATTACTTTCCGCGCTTGGGGAGATTCTATGGTAGATGTCATCAGTGTGGATTCCTTACCCTCGTTCCTACGCTGCACCCTATTTGTTCCAGGATCACTTAGACATCGGGGAATAAAAGTACACTTGAGGTGAGCAGAGGTTTTCGAAAAAAATCAAAAAATGTGCAAGTGCGTCAGAAAATTCCTGGACTAGTCGGCGGGGTCTTTGTCAAAAGTAGTATATTGATCGGTTTTTGCCCAGAGAGTCCGATCGATATTGATCGATAGCACTTGATCCATTGGAATTCAATTTTCAGTTTCATGCCACTTCTCTTCTCAGGATTTTTTTAGGAACTTGTGTCACAATATCGGTACTTGATGAGACAAATTTATACGGAACTCAAAGAAATACGTTTGATATGTAATCGATTCTTCCAATCGAAGCTGGAATTTCTCAGAATATTGCGAATACGCCTCAATTCATGGATTGTTCGGGTTTGTTTTCTTTTCTTCTTTTTACTATTTGATGAGTGATTTTTTTGTTGCTGAAAATCTGAAAAACTACGATGCGGAATTCTGTGCCAAAAAGTAGTCTCTCGAAGATTAAATAGTCCTCAAGCGCAGGAGGCCGACAGTGCCCGCGACACTGCCGCTACTAAAAAGCGCTTGGCAAGGGCGCTAACACCCTTCCTTGTACGTTGCCGCTCTAACAACCGCGGCATACGTGGCGTTTGCGCCCTCTCGCGTACGACGTACTCTCTCGCGTTTTCCCTCTCCTCGCAGCGCTGTGTCTCTCCGTCGTACCACGGCCGGCCTCACAAGGGAATTTCAGTGTTTTCTATGGTGCTTTTTGCTTTTTCTCCTCACTAATGTTCCTCATCGCACTTCTTGTCTAATTTCGAACAAAATAACACATCAACTCGACTGATTCGTGTCTCTTAACTGAAATCCTGTTGATGGCTTTGGTGACGATTT